CTAGGATTCCTTCATACTCAAAAAATGAAAAGCTGCTCAAAGCTCCAAATGACCACGTTTTCTTAAAGCTGAGATTAACCATAAAGTGCACCTAAATTAGCTCTTTTTAAACGCTAATCACGAGAGAGAGAATTTATGAAACACAAATAACTAAAAACTATTAACAAGACAAAATATAGGAGAAAAATAATACTAATTACCCTCTAGGTAATAATTTAAGCCCACCTATCACCAAAATTAAATTACATAATGAGGAAAATAATTATTTTGAAAGGAAACTAAATAAAAATAAAATAAAATAAAATAAAAATACCTAAAACAAACTAAAAATAAAATTAATTCCAAATAAAATAAAATGAAATAAAAATAAGGTAAAAGTATTAAAAACTAAATAAATTCTCAAGAACAAGTATACTTTTTAATCCACAAAAGAGGCTAAATAACTCCATTTCTTGGAGTTATCAGGGATAGTTTAACATTAGATGATGTGTTGTCGACTTTGAGATCGAGAGAGTTAGAGATAAAACATGAATTGTCAGCTAGAAGTGATGAAGGCCTATTCTCTAGAGGGAGGCCACAGAAGAGAGATCAGGGCAAGTTCAAAAATAGGCCAAACTCTAGATCAAAGTCAAAGTCTGGTCAAAGAAAGTGTTACTTCTGCAATAAACCAGGGCATATCAAAAGGTTCTATAAAAAATGGAAAAAGAAGTGTGCAGAACAGTCTGCTGAAGGGGCTAATGCAGCTTTAGCATATCAAGAAGATGGATATGAAAGCTCAGAAATGCTTGTAGTAAGTGTCAGCTAGACAGAGGAGGAATGAATCCTAGATTCGGGCTGCACATACCATATGTGCCCCAAAAGAGAGTGGTTCATCTCCTATGAGAAATTAGATGGAGGAAGAGTGTTGATGGGGAATAACTATGCATGTTCAGTTGTTGGCATAGGCTCGGTGACTTTGAAGCTAAGGAATGGAACAACTTACGTACTTCAAGATGTGAGACACATTCCTGAACTGAGAAGAAATCTGATCTCACTAGGAGCCTTAGACGATTTGGGCTACTGTTACAAGGCCGAAGGTGGAGTCTTAAAGGTGCTTAAGGGGTCAATGGTGGTCCTCAAGGGAGAAAAGAATCAGGGCCTGTATGTCTTGGAAGGACATACAGTCACTGGTACTGCAGCCTCGGTTGAAGATAAAACTCAAGCAGTGCTCTGGCTTCAAAGGCTCGGCCATGTGAGTGAAAAAGGTTTACAAAAGTAAAGTAAACAGGGACTGCTTGGGAAAGGTCCAATTGGGCATCTGGAGTTCTATGAGTAGTGCGTGCTTGGGAAACAACACAGGCTAAAGTTTGCTGCCTCATCTTACAGAGCCAAGGAGCCTCTTGACTATGTACACGCTGATCTGCGGGGACCAGAAAGCACAACCACATTTGCTGGATACAGGTATTTTCTATCCATTGTAGATGATTACTCTAGGAAAGTATGGGTGTACTTGTTAAAAACAAAAGATGAGTGTTTTGAAAATTTTAAACAATGGAAAGTATTAGTAGAAAACCTCACTAATAAGAAATTAAAGGCACTAAGAACTGATAACGGAATGGAGTTCTGTCATGAAATTTTCACTAAATACTGTCAAGATAAGGGCATTCTAAGACACATGACAGTAAGAAAAACCCCCAGCAAAATGGGATAGCAGAAAGAATGAATAGAACACTAATGGAAAGGGTCCGATGTATGCTTTTCAGTTTCGGTCTTAATAAATACTTTTGGGGGGAGGCTGTTACGACAGCCTGCTACTTGATTAATAGGTGTCCTTGTAAGCCTATTGGCCTAAAGACACCGGAGGAATGTTGGACAGGCAAACCTCCAAATATGTCAAACTTGAGAGTGTTTGGATGTGCAACTTATGCACGTCAGAGAGAAGGTAAATTAGACCCGAGGTCTCTTAAGTGTATTTTTCTGGACTATCCAGAGGGAGTTAAAGGGTATAGATTGTGTCTTAGAAATGGGTCACAATATAAAGTGATAATAAGTAGGGATGTGGTCTTTAATGAGTCTAACATGCCTTACCTAAAATTAGAAAGAGATACTGCTGTTAGTTCTAACAATGCAGGAAACCAAGAAAGGCAAACTCAGGAATTCCAGCTTGAGGTGGAAGGACCTTACAAACAACCTGCTGATACACGACAGAGTCAAACTTCAACTCAAGATCAGCCATCTGCACAACAAGAACCCACAGATGAAACCGAAGAGCATGCACAAGAGGAACAACCAGGACCTGATAAGGACTTAGGCCAATATCAATTTGACATGAAGGATCTAGGAAATGCTAAGAGAATCTTAGGAATAGACATAAAAATAGATAGAAAACAGAAAAAATTATGTTTGTCTCAAGAAGAATACTTAAAGAATGTTGTCAGGAAGTTCTCTATGGAACACTCTAAAAGTGTCAAGGTACCACTTGTAGGTCATTTTAAACTCTCTGCTGATCAGTCACCTTCTACTGAAGAAGAGAAAATTAAAATGACCAAAATCACTTATGCTAGTGCTGTAGGTTCATTAATGTATTTCATGATATGCACTGGACCTGATTTAGCCTATGATGTTAGTGTTTTAAGTAAGTATATGGCTAATCCAGGTCTTGATCATTGGTTAGCCATGAAGTGGGTGTTGAAATATGTTAATTTCACTATTAACTATGGTTTAATTTACAAGTACACATCTAATCACTTGGTCTTGGAAGGTTTTGTGGATTCTGATTTTGCAGGTGACAGAGATAGGAGACGATCAACCTCAGCTTATATGATGACTTTTGATGGAAATTGTATAAGTTAGAAATCACAACTCCAGCCGGTTGTTGCTCTGTCAAGTACTGAGGCAGAGTACATTGCAGGTACTGAGGGCTTCAAAGAAGCAATCTGGATTCAAGGATTACTGTTAGAATTGAAAATCTTAAAAAAGAATACAACCATTTATTCGGACAGTCAATTAGCCATCCACCTCTGTAAAAATCTAGTATATCATGAGAAGACCAAACATATAGATGTGAGGCATCACTTCATAAGAGAAAAGGTGGAAGAAGGCGTAATCCAGCTTAAGAAGATAGACACCGAAGATAATCCTTCTAATATGGCAACTAAGGTGATTAATGCTGGCAAGTTCTAGAAATGCCTGGACTTGCTAAGCATTGGAAAGACTTGAATGCGAAGTCTGAGCAAGGACATCCGCGGGAAGCCACTAATGTTCATAAGAGGTCGTTTACTGAAATTAAGGTGGAATTTGTGAGAGTAATCTCAAGAGACGACACTCATCAAGGAAGCACCTCCACCAGGAGCTTGTCGTTTTGGTTGGGAAGCAATATTAAACCGACTCAAGGTTAAGATGAGCTTACAAGGGCTTGACACATATAAAGCTAATTAGATATATTCCTTTGGCCAAAAGGGGTCGAGAGACTTCATCTCATATTATGTATTGTAGAGAGAGAGAGAGATTGTATAGAGAGAGAAACTCCTGGTTGTGTAGAGAGAGAAATCAACAGTTTTGGGAACGAGAGAATCTGGGAAAAACTTAGGGTTTCTTCTCCACTGGGTATTCTTCTTGTTCGGGTGTGAGTGATTTCTTCTCTGGGTGTGAGTTCTTCTCTGGTTTTGGGAATTTCTGTAATCGTGAGTATTGAGGGTGTAATTGCTTTCTTGATTTAGTGGAAAGAGCTTGCTTGCGGACGAGCTCAACGGGGATGTAGGAAAATCTCAAAGGTTCCCGAACCTCGGTCAAACAAACAACCGTGTAAGATTGTGTTCTCTGTTGTTGTTGTGTTCATTGATTTTGTAGATCTGTGTTGGAATCGCTCCAACAACAACTACATCCCAAGCACTGCTTAGATTACAGTAAGCCAATATCACTTGTGTATATTGTGAGTAAAAATGGGTGAAGCAAATGTTAGTTCAATTATTTATTTATTTTTTTTAAGACACTGATTTGAGCTGTTTGGTTTTTAATTCACAAAAAGAAGAGAGAAGACAAAAATCTCACAGATGAAGTACAAAATCTTGTGAGCTTTGGAAGATGTTTCAGCTCCAGATAATTTAGCTGAGGTAACAACATTCTAGCCATTGTTTGATCAGTGCTTATCATCTCTTCCATCACAGTACAATCTTTGATTTCGAGTCGATTGAGTTGCACGAGATTCGCAGCCACAGAAGCTGGAAATAGATATTTCGAGGACCCAGAAGTACGGTTGACAAACAGTTCTTTTAAATTTGGGAAGGTAGTAGAACTTGCTAGAAGCTGCACGTACAATTACAATTCTTTGCAATGAGATATTTTTTGACTATATATACAGAAAGCATACACATTTAGATAACAGTTTTGCACTAAAATCAATGTTACAGATTAGACAATAGTAAATTGTTTTATTTTTCATTAAAATCAGGATGCCTTGTCGATGGCTTGCCTGCCCTATGCCCTTGTGACTAATAAAGTATTTAAGGATGGAATCGAATCATACCTTAGGGTGGAATAATGGGAGGTCAGAATCGACATTTAGTTGCTCCTGTGTCCTGTGTGGCAATGTCATCCTTGCTTTCTTCACTTCTTCACAAAATTGAATAAGCTTTGGTAAACCTCCGAGCGTGAGCGAGCATAACCGAGGGAATTCAATGTTTTCAACGACTTCAATCTCAATAATGTTAAGGAGTATCCTCTTCTCTTCCACAGGGAAATATTGCCTCCATCGTGTTGCGGCCATGCACTTCAACTGTCTCAAGTTGTCTGGCGACAGAGAAATGAAAGAGATTTTTTAATGCATTGCAACTTAATATCTTAATGATTCTTAACTTGCTGAAAGATTCTACTCCAAGTTTACAATTGGATATCTTTTCCAGGTTTCTTAGATCGTTAAGATGCAATTCCTCCAATCTTTGAAAGGCATTACAAGGATGATCAGCCTCCTCCACCGAGTTAACAATGTATCGAACTTTAGGATTATAGTAGACTTCCAAACGTTACAACTGTGAAAAACCATCCTCATCTAATTCAGGAACAACATCATTAATCTCAATCGCACGCTTCATATGCAACTCTTCTGCCTTTTTGATCAAAAATTTAAGACCACTCTGCTCTATGTGACTTTTGGAGTGCACAGAATTAAGCTCAAGAAATCTTGAATATCTTTGATGATGTTTACACGAACACCAAATACCAGGTCCTATATGCAATGCATATCTTTCTAATTTATCCGTAAACAAGCCGGCCACAAGATTGTCGGGATTTGCAAGTAAATGTAATGTGGTTAGTTGTCGCAAGTTCTTTAGTTCGGCCAGACTCGCATTACTCCTTTCACCATTCACTTCTTCAACCACCCAATTGGTAAAGCTGCTCCTCCTAGGATCAACTCTTCTAATCGAACCAAGTTTGATATAACACCAGGTTTGAATCACTTTAAGATCCTCGGAGTCATATAAATCTAATGACAGCAAACGAGTCAACTTTCCTAATGTCTTTGGCACTTCCCTAAATCTAGAACTTGAAAGGTCCAAAATTTCTAAGTTTCTTAATTCTCCAATCCAAGTTATGTCTCCCAACCTACATTTACGCAACATTAACGTTTGGAGATTTTGAATGAAGTAGAAGGAAGGGAGTGATCGACCGAGATCTATAAAATCCAATCTTAAAACTTGAAGCTCCTCCGTTGCTTCAAAAAGCTGGCTATTGATTGCGGACCCGACAATCTCGCTCAACCCTCTCATAAACAAAAATAGGAGCTTTGGACATAGAAATCTACTAGAACGTAGATCATAGGAATATAGCAGTGAAATGGCAGTCAAGCTTTCGAGTTTTCTCTTCTTTTGAAGTACTTCTAGCTCACCAACATTCCTAATGCTGCACATTTCTTTCTCGCCCAAAGCAATTGACACGGCAACATCACGAACCACGTCGTGCATTTTAACATAACCAGCTCTGTTGCCCTCTAACAACAAAGAAGAAGTTCTAAGATTCTCAACCAGATTAAGCACCCTATTTCTTGCATCTTCTGGCTTAATGCTCCCTTGATCAAACAAGCTTATGCCCACACCATATTTCAACAAATCATTAGTATTTATATATTCATCTTCTTTGTACAAGCTACAAAGCAATAACAATGACTTATCTTCTTCACTGCCTAAAAATTTGTAGCTCAACTTTACACTTGAATACACTTTTTCATGCATTCCTTTGATATTAGTTGGATTAGACACTTTTAGGCAAGGCATCCTTCCAAACGGCGCTCGTTTTGTTTTTCAATGCACTAGCAACTGTTGAAACCGCGAGAGGTAAGCCAGCACATTCTTTAACAATCTGAATTCTCAAACTTTGAAAATCAATTCCTCTCACCATGTCTCCTACAATTTTTTCAAAAAGATCTGTCGCTTCGCCATCAGATAAAACTCCAACTTCGAGGTTGCTCCTCACATCAACAGCCATGTCATTACGTAATACATCTTCAAGTCTAGACGTTAGTAGTACTTTGCAGCCTTTCAGATCATCAGCAAAAGATATCCCAATGGCATCCAAGTCAAGCTCACTCCAATGTCATCTAAAATTATAAGGATCTTCTCCTCCTTCCTCAACCGTTCTTGCAGTCGCTCAGCTCTTACTGATAAGGTTTCCTCTTCAAATCTTGGTAACTTCTTGTTGAATCCGTTTACAGTCAGGAGTTTGTGAAACAGTAGTTATAATTACTTGACTGAATAAATCTTCACTTTTGGCATGTCTAGCAACTTCTTTAACAAGCACAGTTTTCCCAAGAAAGTAGGCATTCTTGTTTCAAAGGTCTCATAGCCTTTGTTTTTAATAGAAATTTGTAGAGGACGACGATGAGAAACCTTGCCGAATTTCCCAACATCTTGGATTTCACTAATAACAACTTCTGCCACCTTCCTTGCTTTCTTGCTTTGCTTATACCTCATGATCAAATTCCAAGAGCATCCATTGAAACATTTCGTTTTTATTCGACCCTCATCTAAGTAATGTCTCAGCCTCTCCAGAGATCTTATCTACTTTACTTCGCCAGTTCTGGACGTCATCTTCAATTTCTTCACCATTTCTCATAGCCTCGTCAACGGCATGTTCTATTCTCTCTTTTGCAAACTTCAGCTCGTGAGTTTGAGTTATTAAGGTTGTCAACATTGCTTTTGTAGTAAAACAAGTAGCCAATCTGACGACCAACTGGTTCGACGATATATTCTGCTGCTTTTCCCGCAATTGAGGTGCCAATTCCGATAAGAAATTCCATGCTTCCAATAATTCTTATATGTGTATGCTGTTCTCGTGTTCCCGAAGTTCTCCCTTCGAATGTCGTCCAAAGATAACGTAAACAATTGACAAAAAAACAAAAAAACAAAAAAAAAAGTCTAATCAAATTCTTAAGATTAAATTGCAATTTCTTTTTTATTTTCAAAAGCATGCTTGGTAACTCTGTTTATTCTTATTTCCAAAAAAAAAAAAAACTCTATTTGTCTTTGTTCTTATTTTTAATAACTAGTTTTATAAGCGTGCTCCGCACGTATTGTTGTGTTTGAAGCCCCAAGATTTATTATTTTCAAAATAATAAGAAATTTATTTAGGACTTGTTTAGTTCATGTGTTTAAATCAGTGATTTTTTATTTTGACATTTAAAATTTAAATTTTTTATGAGAGAAAAACACTGTAGCATAACCAAAACCATGGTTTAAACGCATGAAACAAACGAGCCCTTAAGTTTATCTTAAAAAGAAATATGTGAAAAAATTATAGTTGACAAAAAAATTAAGTAGGGATACATTTGAAAATAATTATTTTAACTAATAAAAAAATAAAAAAACACAAAATAAAATTACTCTCATAAGAAAAAAAAATTATGAGAAAAACACGTGCCAAAAAAATTACTCTTCTAAGAATAAAGTGAGGAATAATATATTTTAAAAAATACATAAAAAAATAAAAATGTAAAAAATAACAAAAAGTAAAGATAAAATAGTAAAAAAAAAGTAAGTTGATGGCTGCCACATAAAAAAGTGTTTTTTTTTATGTATTGTCAGGCTATTCCCAGAACTTTTAAAAATTGAAAAACAAAAAATAAAATATATAGAATAAAATAAAAAATATAATATAATAAGGAAAGAAGTTTTCACTTATGGTAGACTTGCCGAATTTTCTTTCTATGTCCAATCCACCCTAACAAAAGTACCCCGCAAAATAAGGGAGAAACAGAAAAATATGTCAAGATTTGAGATGAATTAAAATTAATAAGTTAATAATTTACATAAGTTAATAAATAGGTTAAATTATTGTTTTCGTTCATAACTTATCTGATTATGAATCATAATTTGACAAGTTACTGTCCATAAATCACAGTTTTTATCCATAACTTGTTTGGCTATGAATCATAACTTGATAAATTTATCTATAACTTATCTGATTATAAATTATAACTTGACAAGTTATGACCTATTAATTTTCATAACTAAAAATTGGCCTATATATTTTTTTAAACTTTTCATATTGATCTATGGCAAAAATAATGCCACTACAATTGAAAGCCCATTAGATGAGCCCAAGAACAAATTTTCAGGGCCGAGAGTTCAGCAACGCGCCCAAAAGTTCTAGAGCTTAGCATGTGCACTCTCTTCCTTTCCCTCTCAGTCGTTTTGTTTCTCACAAACAATACTCTTTCGTCATTAATTCTACCACTTAAATTTCTCTCCTCATTTTCTTACTTAACTTTCTACTTCCCCATTTGTTATTTCTCTTCTATACTTCCTCTCCTAATTCTCTCTTTCCTTCTACCATTTTACTTTCTCTGCCTTATTGAATCTTTCTTATCTCTTTTTATGTCCTTTCTCTCTCTCTCATTCTTTTTTTACACTCTCTCTCTTCTCTTGGCCGCACCCCTTCATTTTCTCTCTTTTCATCCTCCATCTTTACTTTAACATCATTTGCTATCTTCACTTTCACTCCATCCATTCTCTCTCTTCATTCTGAATGTGACACTCATTAATCCTTTGAGTCAAATTTTCCTAATCGAAGAGAATAGTAAGAGGGAATAACTAAGATAAGTAAACCATGCAGTTATGCATTATCAAGTGAAGGTTATAAGTGATTAATATGTATTAGAGAGAATCAAGGAAGATAATTGAAAATAATTCTCATAATCACATTGACGATAATTCTCCAATTAATGCTTAACTAAGATAAGTAAACTATGCAGTCGTGCATTATCAAGTGAAGGTTATAAGTGATTAATATGTATTAGAGAGAATCAAGGAAGATAATTGAAAATAATTCTCATAATCACATTGACGATAATTCTCCAATTAATGCTTAACTAAGATAAGTAAACTATGCAGTCGTGCATTATCAAGTGAAGGTTATAAGTGAGTAATATGCAACATTCTTTATCTACAAATGGTATGGGGTCTTTCGGGGTAAAATCTATAAACAAAAACAGTGCAGGCACACGCCGAAAGCGTACATTCCTTCTCTTGATACGTATAAATGCGGATCATTACATTCTCTCTGTAGATTTTCTAACTCCTGATTCTCTCTCACCTATTTCTCATGGCTTTCTCTTTCTATTCTATCTTTAAACATTCCTTTTCCTCATTCTTTCTCTATTCTCTCGTATTCTCTCTTCTCATTTTATCTTCACACTTTCTTTTTTCTCTAATCGTTAGGACACAGTTTTTTACCATCAAATTATATTATAATCATATTAGATAAAGAAAAATATTGCATTTTAACAAAATGTGATGAAGATCTAACGTTTAAGTATTGTATTCTATCTTCAGGTATTTCTTTTAAAGGCTAACAAAAAATTCTTTTTTTATTTTTCACCTTTTCTTTTCTAAAACGATTGAAGCACTTTAAACTTTGGATGAACAATATAGTTATGGATAATGTTAAAAGATTTATTTTAAGTTTATTTATATGCATGTGTAAAAATACATACGCATTATATGTATTTCCATATTATACATATATTAAAAGAGAGAATGAGATTCATTATTCATGCTACAGTATAATGAACAGTATCTTTCTCATTTTAACCCTACTTTTTTCTTTTGATGAAATTTTAATTCTCGTTATGTCTTTTTGAATGTAAAGTTAATATATTACCCTTTAATTCAATTTCATTTGCTTTAGATTATTCTACCGTTTTGGTCATTTGCAAATTTGTTTTTTTTCCTAAGAAATTATTCCCCTTTACAGATAAGGTTATTGCTTTTGCTTTTCTTATTCTTTTCCACCGCCGAGTTTTCTCCTCTTGCCTCTGAAATATTTTGCTCTGTTGCTGCCGAGTTTTCTGCTCTATCTTCTTGGCACATATATGGATTTCTTTTAAATTTTTTCTGAAGAAATTTTCTTCTTTTTTTTTGGCTCTTAGGCAAACGTTTTTTTTTTTTATACTCTATTTGTTTTTTTACTGAGATTCTTTTTGTTTCCCTTTTTTGCTTCCGTTTTGCTCTCTGGATTTTCCATGTATGTTTCCCATGCATGTTCTTCGCTGGTAGTTATGTTTATTTGTAGCGGAAAATCTTTGTTTTAAGAAAAAAATATTCCTTTACAGATCGGGTTAGATCCATAGCCTAAAGTTTTTTTTTCCCTCTTCCATTTTTTACCGATTTGGTCTCTATTTTCTTCTATGATGATATTGTTTTTTTCTTACATATTTTTCAAAATATTTTAGTTTTTTTCTTTTTTGACTTTGTTTTTTCAAAAATGATGCGTTTTTAAAATTTTTTAAAATTTATTTTAATGTTTTTTAAAAATGTTTGTTTTTGCATTTCTTAAAATTTGTTTCTATGATTTTGTTTTTGTTTTTTTTTTTTTTTCCTCTGGAGTATTTTATTTTAAGAGGTTTTTTTAGGGTATTTTTTTTAAATCTGTTTTTTAAAATTTTTGTTCATATATTTTTTGATTTTCTTTTTATGGAATTTTTTTTAAGAGGCTTTCTTTTCTTTGGGTTTTTCTTTTAATCTTTTTTTAAGAAAATAGGGCCTAGCAATCTTTTTTTAAGAATCTTAGATGGCAGCCAATCTTATAGGTAAGACTTAGATGGCAGCCAATCTTTTTTTAAGAATCTTTTTATGGAATTTACTTTGGTTACTTATGATATATATCGTAAATAATAGAAGATGAATACCTAAACCAAGTATTTAATATATGATTTTCTGGTTTCTTTATCTTTTGT